GTAACAACATGGGGTCAAAGTGTCAGCACTGATGTCTCTTTTCCAACCTGCAAATTGTCAACATGGGTATTTTTAAGATGAAAACAAGAAGTCAGCATTTTAATCCATGAAATTAGAAACTGAGTTTTTTAAAATGCTGCCTTGAAATTGCTCCAATAGTTGGCAGAAATGACCAGTTTTCCAGAGAAGGTATCCTGTACAATAACCACAACAAATTCTTCTGCTCATACACAAAACCAATTTGAATTAACAAGCCTGCCTTCATCATAATTTAAAACCACTTATTGAAAAATATTTTCTCTCTCTCTACAACCACCTCCCCAGAAATGTGGAAGTAAACAAGCCAAAGCAACCTACACATATGAGATACAAGTATCTCCCCACAGAAAGAACAACAAAGCACCTTTTCTCAGCTCTTCAGAGAATTGATGGATGACTGAGGGATTCTTGTGGAACTTTCACATCCTGAGAAACAGTGAAGTATTCAATGTACATTGACACTCCTGCCTTTGCTATCTTGTTCTGACCTTCCCTTGCAACAAGGATCACTGGAGCATTTCAGTGACCAATTGAACATATTAAATTTCTGTTGTTGCTTAGATGAAGTACACGCTTGGTAGGGCCCACTGAGCTGGACAAATAAACTCCTGTAAATGCCATATTTATGTGGCTAGACTGACTCTCCAATGTGCTCTGTGTCATTTCAGAGCAATTTCATTGCTGCACACAGACAGGGGCAAATTGATTGCTCCAGGTGACATAAGAAGCATGCAAAAGTGGGTGTTGTGGTTTAACCTGGCAGGCAGCTAAACACCACACAGCTGCTTGCTCACTCACCTCCCAGTGGGATGGGGGAGAGAATCACAAAATAGGTGAAACTCATGGGTTGAGATAAAGACAGTTTAATAGAATGGACAAGGAAGTGAAAAGAATAATAACAAAGAGAAAAAATATACAGAAAAAGTGACGCAGAATGCAATTGCTTACCACCCACTGACGCCCAACTAGACCCTGAGAAGCAGACTGACACCCTGCTAGCCAGATCCCTCCAGTTTTATTGTTCAGCATGACATCATATGGTATGGAATATTCATCTGGCCCATTGGGGTCCTGGCTGTTTCCCCTCCCAACAGCTTGTGTATCCCCAGCCTACTCGCTGGCAGGGCACAAGAAGCTGAAAAGGCTACAACTTGGTGCAAGTGCTGCTCAGTGACAACTAAAACATCAGTGTGTTACCAACATTATTTTCATCCTAAATGCAGAGCACAGCACTATACTAGCTACTAGGAAGAAAATTAACTCTGTCCCAGCCAAAACCAGGACCCCGAGAAGCTGGCCACTTTGTTCGCAGTGGAATCACAGAGGGGAAGAAGACACACAGCAGTACACCAACTGCTGTCATTTAAACAATCACACTTGTTTCTTCAGAAAGCCCCATCTCTCTTGAATTCTGAAAGCCACCTTCCCCAAAACGCCTCTTCCCTTTTACAGGCTCTCTGAACACTGAAGTCCTGTCTATGCTGAGTTACAAAGTAGTAATGGTGGACAAAGCAGAAGTATCTTTCTGGCTTCTTTCTTAATACATTCCTTTTTAGTTTTACATCTACATCTATGGCTGCAGAAGCCTAAAGCCTGCCTTTGGACTGAGCTAGAGCAACATGCAGCAACTGAGACAGATTCTTGCTGCAGGCTGTGAGCAGACAGAAGATAATGGAAGGTTTATAAGAAAGGTCCTTCCTGAGTGATAAATGATTCCTTGTCCTTTCAGAGGCTCTGATGGACACACCTATTTGTTCTGCTCTGCATAGAGAGGGGACAAAATGACCTATATCAACACAAAAGGAGCTATAGAAATCAGATTATCAATACATATTCAACAACTTTATGCAGCACAATAGGTATTTAAGCAATAACCCTTGTAAAAGCCTTGCTCCCTTGTCATAGGATGCTTTATGTTTGCTATTTTTAGCTTTTGAAGTGTCAAAAAGCTACACAAAAAATGGTGGTGAACAGCACTGGACACCAACAAAAAGCAAGTGAGGCAAAAAGAAATCTGAAGTAAGCTGCACAAGATGAGGTTAAGTTATTCAGAGAGCGATTTCTTGCAACACAGGTGATGTATTTCGGTCTAAATATCCTTCTCAATCCTGTCCTCAGTGAAAAACCAAGTGCCAAACTGCCAATCAAACTGAAAAGCATCCCCATTCATCTAGGTTTCCCTCACCACTGCCCTGCAACAAGCAATGCTTGATCAGCAGCTACCGATCTTAATTTAGCTATTTTTAACAAGTACACCATTTTGCAATCCTGCCCACCAGAAGGATTTGCAAATCTCTCCAAATACTCCTCCCTGGTCCTGATAACTTTGCCAGCATGAATAGGAAACTTGGGCTTGCAGAACAAGCTGCTGCTAACTGACAACGCAAAGTAGGTTTTCTTTTGTATCTGCAGTTTGCATGAGTAGGCAGCTGAGATTCTGATGAATTACTGTCTCTGATCTCAGTGTTAAGTTTAAGACATTTTTTTGGCACAGTCTGTTACAAAAGGCACTGCCAATATCAACTATTGGTATTAGCAAACTTCTTCAGGAAAGGTACCAAAGGCATTTCACAGTCTCTCGTCTGCTTGCAACAGGACTGAGTTCAGGGACCAGAGGTTTTACTCATCGAACTGTAATGGAGTCTTGATGACCACTTATGTCAAAACACTGTTTCAAAAGAAAAACTGTAACATCTTGTTTTGAAAACTCAATTTTCATTTTTCAGTTATAGCTTTTCTTGGGGCCAAATCCTTTTCCCAACCTCACCGGCAACTGTGCCTGAGAAATTGCATTTTCCATTGGTTATTTGTGCCTCCCTGTCTGATTTTGTGTCCACACTGTTATGCTTTCAGCAGCTGGCATTGAAAAGCATACTTTTACAATCCTGCATGTCTGATCTCTTTGCAGAAATATTGCAAGCAACCCCTTTAGATTTCAAAAGCAGTCATTGTACTGTTGTGCATGAATTTAACATCTTCAGATCTTCATTGATAATTAATAATCGCTTGAACTAGTTGATCATAATTGAGCATTTTTACACTTGCAAATGATAAAAAAAGGTTTCTTCTGTCTGTAGCCTTACTGATGCCACAATGCTCTTCGCCTCACTCACAAGAGAAGCCACATTATTCTGATGACGTTATTTTTATGCAATAAGCCACACAGTTGTCCTTTTGCCATGCTTCTTTAATTTTAGATTCTATTTTTGACTTTGCCCAAAAGCCTATAAACCTACTCACAGCTTCCCAACAACTAAGCTTACAGGTACCACTTACAATTTTGACATGTACATTTAATAATTTTTTAGGTAACACCTAAGAAAACTAAATCAGACAATGACACATAGACACATACATAGATTGTTGTAAATGTCAACCTTAATACTGCTATGCGTATTCCTCATCTTTAACGTGTTTAAGAGATCAAAAAGCAAGAGAACAATCCACCTAGACCAAATACAGGGCAGGTTATAATCTCCACTTCCTTTTCACTTATTGAGGCCATGTATCTATTTTGGTTTGTTATTATTATTCATTATGTCTGTATGGCAATAATAATAAAAATAATAATAATAACAACAAGAACAACAACAATAGTTAGGGCTCTCACCTTACCCTAAATCATTTACCACAGCTGCTTAGTTCCTCCTGTGGGGCTCTCCTTTGCAGGGCACAGAATTCCCCACAGAAGACAGGGGAAGTAAATATTAAATATTTAAAATGTGCTATATCCACTTTATTCTCCAAATCCCCAGCCTTCTGTAAATACCACAAAGCAGTTTCAACAAATGGCTAATCAGCACCTATAGGTTTTCTATGGCCTAACTGCAATAGCTCATTAATGCTGTAGCTTGGGGATTTGCTTTTATGGACTTTGAAATATTTTGCAACACATCAACCCATCGTGTAAAGATGCTGTTCAGCAGAAATTTCATTGCACCATGCTGCAAACAGAGTCCTTAAACTACAACCACTTTTTAAAAAAAGCATTTAAAAATCTAAACAAATAGCTTTAATCTTCTAAAGCTCTAGAAAGACTTCATCAAGAAAACTTTTTATAGTTCAGTATTTCTCTGAGATGAGCTCAAAGTGTTAGCTGAGATAATTATCAGAGAGATTATGTAGGTTTTATTTTCAAAAGGTTTTGGTTGCTCTCTTTTTACATAATTGCTTAGTGCTTGCATGTAGCTCAGAAAACAAAAAGCATAAGAAAAATAAGAATTATTTATTTAACAGAAAAATAATTCTAAATGTTATGAACATTTTCAGCAGTCTTTACTATATTTTGAAGATTTCTGTTAATCTGGAGAGCTGCTCAGTGATCTGACCTTGGCAGCACATGAAATGAGAAATGTGCCTTACCACTATTGTTTCTAAACCATTTCAGCGGAGCTACAAAATAGCAGGAAGCAGAGAAAAGGTGCAACATAATGCCTAACTACTTCCTTCATTTCTAGCTTTGCTGGAGACAAAGGTCACCACACGCAGGATATAAAATCTGGCCTTGTAAGTCAAACCAGTGCCATAAAGTACACAACGACTGTATAGAATCACTAAACGTGTCAAGAATTGGCTAAAAACGCTTCAAACATTTCCAAATTCAAACATTTTGCAAATTTACAAGCAAAACTCAGTCAGGTTAGCTGAATTTGAACATACATTGTAACTTCTAACCAAATTCCAGCCAAGACCTTTCAAAGTCATCTTTGAAGCATAAAGAGGCCCTGAACTCAATGTAAGATTGTCACTGGGCACACTTATGAACATATTACCCTTGCTCTCATAAACAATTTAAAAGCTACATAAACGACATAATTTCATATCCTGTTTTCAGTAATTCCAAGTTCATTTCATGATTATTTATATGTACTTCAGATATTTTAGGATGTCAAGAAAGCTTACATCAAGTGTGCTATACCACCACCTTTTGCTTAAACACAATAAAAGGAAATTCTACTTACAGCCAACCATCATCATGGCCACTGAAAAAATCTTCTCTCCATCAGTCGTTGGTGCTATGTTTCCAAATCCTATTGTTGTAAGGCTTGTCATGGTAAAGTAGAGAGAGGATATGTACAAGGAGTCTTTACTGGGTCCTCCTTCCCACTGCCCTGAGCCAGTGGTGTTGTATCGATATGGTGTCCCGATACTCAGTGCCAACTGGTAGAGCCAGCTATCTGTTTTGATTGTATTAGTGACTTCATCAATAACTTCATAGTCCCCGATGCTGTACCATATGCAGGCTAGCCAGTGGGCCACCAGTCCAAATACACACACCAACAGCACCAGTACAGCAGCACCATATTCCAGATAATGGTCCAACTTCCTGGCAACTCGACCGAGTCGTAGCAGACGTACCACTTTTAGGGAGCTGAAGAGGCTACTGATCCCCTAGAAAAGAATGAAAATCATTATTTCATCTGAAATATCCTGCTGGTTAACACAGAAGGCTGTATAGCAATTCCCGTATCTACTTTAAATCTTCCTATTCAATTTTTTCATGCCCCAGATGACAGAATACAAGATCAAACCCTCCTTCCCTCCAGTACTTTTGTCCTCATCAGGGTAAATCAAATTTGGCACTCGTTAGGTGGATAAATTACTTCATTCAAGCTCAGTCTTTCCACGTAACAGAAGAGTTCTGTGTAATCCAAAGTGAGAAATGGCATGTTTCTTATAAAAAGGAGTTTATTGCAAAATGTTTGCCAGTTTGAAGTAATAAGATACTCTGTTTAGACCTCAAGAAGGAAGAGCAATCACAGATGGAACTACACCATTCAAGTAGAGTCTTCTCAAACCTTCTCAGAGAACAGAATTCTATGAAATCCAAGCAGAGAATTGCTATTCTGGCCAAAACAAGGGTCCACCTACTTCAACAACCTTCAGCATTAACAGATGTTCCAGAGAAATGTCAGGAAGTAATTGTAATGGGTAACTACATAAAAATCTGTTTATTGTTACCCTCATCTACCAGAAAATAGCTGAGTAACCTCCTCTAGTCCAACAGTTTTTACCTCATACTGTCTTTTACCACAGCTAATATAACTCTGGATATTTCATTATTTATAAGAAGTCTCACTGAATATGGAACAAACATCTGTGGGCCCATCACCCTTCTTAGTGAGGGTTAATACAGACCACAAGGCACTTGCAAGAAAACCACATTCCTTTGTATATCAGATTAATTTCCTTTCTGATCAACAGCCATTGCAGAATTTTCCTAAATCAAGTATTTCTGGGGTGTTTTGGTTTCTTTTTCACACATGATAAACGAAGCCTATAATTCTAAGTACAAATAAATAGAAATACAAATATTTAGGGAAAAGAAGCAGACGAATCATCAAAAAGTTAATAGAAACAGTGCAGAGGGAACAAGAAACATGTACACCCTCCTCAATGCACAAATGGTTTGCAGTGTGTTTTAATAGAGTTTATAGATGCGAAAAGAGATGAAAAACATGTTCCTGATCTATTGCAATCCCATGATATACTTAAATTGTGCATTTAATTAATAGCTTAAAATAAAAGGTTCTTTACAAACCTTTTTTTTGGAAAGAAAGGTTTCTAATATAAAACATTCAGAAGCTGAAGACGTTTAATTTAAAGGAGAAATTAAGACATAGAAAGCAATGAGGCAAACATTCCTACTTATTGTGCCAAGATTAAATTGCCCTTTTCTATGCATCATTATCACATCAGTCTAGTCAAAATACTGACTAATAGTATTATCAAACAGTAAAAGTCTGAAGTTTCTGGAGTTTTCCATACTAGAAAAACTTTCATGTCTTTTGCACCTCTGCTTTTTTTCACAACTTATGTTTGAAGGGTAATATACATCTGATATTTCTAGAGGTAATCTGTTCGACAAAGTTCTTGTATGCTTTTCAAATCCTGTTGGAATTTGTTTCAGATCCCCAAATCCTTCATAAATTGAAGTTTCATATTTGCATTCAAGCTCACATGATGCTCAATACCAATGGAGGAAAGCGGAATTTTCCCAATTTGATTTCTGTATTTTGCATTTACACGAGACACAGATCTCATTTACAATTCTTGTTTCCACCTAAATATATATCTATTTATTTGCTTTGGGATAGATGCCTGCGAGGCACTCTGAACAGGAACTTGCCCAATAAATTAGGAAGTACCCTACAAAGTCCATTACACAATGGACAGGGTCAATGTACTCCTGAATGAAGGTTACACCCCACAGAAACTGTATCGACATTACAAAAGAAAACTACAGAGTATTTTAATAGTGTATTTAATGAAATTATTCTGCCATGTGTTTCAGTGAATTAACACTGATTCTGCAAGTTTACAACTTGCTGTGAAATAAGAGGGAGAAAACAGCAGGGTGGGTTTTTTTGTAGGATCAGATCCTATTGCATTAGGAAATTATCAGATCCTAGATATGCATTATTTCATATAATTTTACTCAAAAGAGTAACTATTCATTACCAAGATTAAGGCTAAGGAAGGAGTTAGAGACCTGGAATCTAAACTTGGGAGTCCCCTTTATTCACCCAGTAGTTCATGTTTGTCCCAGGGGCAAGGCTTACACTGCACTGTCTGCTACACAAACACAAACCAAGACAGCCTTTAAACAGGAGAGTTTACAGTCTGATGCTCTGTCCTCCGTCCATATTACATCTGTCTCTAAGTTACATGGGCAGTTTAGCAGCAAAGTCTGGGTGAGATTTTATGCTGTGATTGTTTTATTTCTTTTTCCTAAACACAATCACATCTATTATGCATAAAACAAAGAGAAATGTTTCATTTTAAATGACACTAAATGTTTTATTTCCAAAGATCAATTCATTTAAGCAAGTTTCACCATAAATCTTAAGGGGAGTTCAGTCTCACCCACTACTTTAAGGCTGAAAAATCAGAGAGATATTTGTTGAGTATTCACATTTCAACTCTAATCTTGGAAAATATAAAGACAATATTTGAAGCTTTAAAAGCTATTCCATAAAACACTAACTAGGAAAGAGCAATTAAGCACATTCTAAATGAACATGTGATGCATTGCACTTTTTAAGTACTAGGTTGAGTCAAGCTAGTACCATTATACTTAAAACAATTGTTTGATGATAAATTCATATCTGGAAATGCACAGAGCACTGCCTAAGATTTGGCAACAATCTCTTTCGTGGAAATTATGTGAAAGATTAACTGCCTTGAATCATGTTCGGGCTATTAAGAAATTCAGTATTCTAAGTTCAAAAGATTGTTGTCTGCCTTTAATTTCATTTTTCTTATATTTCTTCTAAAGGATGAGCATCTGCTTTAACTGAAGTAACCTCAGTATTCAAGGAGCAGACAGATTATTAGAAATGTTGAAAGGAACATGTAATCCCATTTGATACTAGCATTGTGTAAATAATTCAAATTTTTTGACCTTATATGAAGGTCCTACCATTTGGGAGAACCATTTGTCACTCCATTGAGTATTTAGTAAATCTGGCCAACTGACAGTAATATCTGCTCTTCTGTGTTCTCTGACTGAAAATATTTCATTACGTTATGAACCATCCAATCCTGCCCCTTGAGGTTTTGGCTAATGTATTTGATCATGTCTTAATCAGATGAAGACATTCCACTTGCTTATCTTCAATCATCCCAGCTGCAGAAATCTTTTAACTGAAAGCCCGCCTACTCCAGAATATATTTTTTGTGGCAAGTTTGGAATCAAATTCCTAACTGATACATGTCATCGACTTAAGTGCTATAGGTACAAGCCACAGATGACTTTCGAGTGACTTCAAAGGCCACTGGATCAGGAGAGGACACAAGCAGTAGCTCTGAACTAGCCCTTTTTATGCAACTATTTCTATTTAGACAGCTGAAGCAACCACAAGGACAATGTCAAATTTATCCAAAAAGACATTTTTGACGAATGGGTATTCAACTTTGGAATTTAATTAGCCATCTGTGATTAAACAAAGCCAAACTTTATTGACATAGGTGCCTTGCAACTTGTGTTCTCAGATTCCCTTGATATACTAAGAAAGGACAGTCAGTTTAAGAGTGGAGGCACAAGTGATGACAGCAGGTGATGTGTGATGTGTGAAATGCAGAGGGATCACTCCTTCCTATTAAAATTACCCAAATCTTGCCATTTCAGATCCTAGATGTTATCATATTATCAAACTTTAGTCTTCCAGGATGAAAGAAGTGTGTAAGTTCTGCGTCTACACCTGGCTAAACTTTTCTGACCACAAGACTGAGAAAGACATTTCCTGCAATTGCAACATATGCCATGAGCACAGACCTCCACACCTCGAGCAAGAATAGGGAGCTAAATTCTCTTGTACTTAATGAATTTCTGGCACTGCAGGCAACAGGAAAGATGAAGCTGTCAAAGTCATGTTATAAACGGGTCAAGAGCCAAACATGCAAGAGGATAAAGGGAACATTGTCACCAAAGGAAAATGAAAGTTAACAAGTGCAGGAAATCGTTGAAGTTGGTATGAGTGCCAGAGATGTCCTTGCAAACCAGAAAAGAGAGAGTGGAGTCTCTTCTACAGTAAAGCAGCAGAACAGCAGAGCTGCATCTTTTAAAAAGCCATTAAAGATTTAATCAGTTGCTTACTTGCTAATCTAATAAATTTTCTGCAGCAGGAATATATTGCATAGAAGTTTTAAAAAGTAAAATAAAACCAAAAACATCCATTACTTTCTATCATCTAAATACACTAAAATCTGCTTAGACCTCAAAATGAAATCCCAGTTTGCTTAAGTGGTAAATTTCATGCTTTTTCTTTTTTTTAATTATTAAGAAAAAATGAGGTTTTAACTCTAGGCACTTTTTCAATTAGATTTTACTGCATGATTTTTCATTTATTTGTTGTTTGCTGTGGACACATAAGCAATAGTAACAAAAAAAAAGAAACACACATTTTAAATGTGTTCTAAAACTGAAATCCTCCTGGCTCTTAACTGCATCATTTAACAGAAAACACTGTCTCAGAAAAGCTCAGAGGAAAAAAGAAAAGCAGAAGAATATTCACTGTGTTTTGATGCCCCGAACATTGTGGTTTTTAGAGATTTTATATAGTGGCCAAGAACCAGAGCTTGGAAACTTGCTATGAAATGCTGTAGGGCATGTTGCCACTGCAGTCAAAGGTGTGACTGCAGTATATACAGACCTCAAGCTAAATTTAAGCTAATATGCTTAGGATTGCTAAATGCAGCAGTCACACTAATCTGCGTATAACAAAACTAGCCATTAAAGCAATCAAATCCTCTGAGGAGTTTGTAGCCCAGGCTGAACTCTTTATTTCCATGCAAGAACAGAATGGTTTCATGTAAGCTGAGTTTGAGCACACCTGAACAAGACACAGACACGGCATAACTGAGCTCTACCTCCCCTGCTGGGGTGGGAT